GGCGGGCGGGCGAGCCGGCCGCCTTCGAGCTCTTCTTCCGCCGCTGCCCCTTCCAGGGCGGCTTCGCCCTCTGCGCCGGCCTGGGCGAGTGCCTGGCTTTCCTGCGCGCCTTCCGCTTCGCCCCGGCAGGTGAGTCGGGGGCTGGGTGCGCACGCAGGCAGGTAGGCAGGCAGGCAGGCGCGCCCCCTCCCTGCACTCTGCACATGGGCAGAGGTGGCCTGGCGCTCGGCCTTTCCCGGGGATTGGGAAAGAGGACAGGCAGGCAGGGACCCGTCCCTTTTGCGCAGCGTCCTGTGCCGAGCGATTGGAAAAAAGAAGCAGCATAAAAACTTTTTATCGCAGCAAAACTTGGGTTCAATGCCCTCTGGGGGCCCCGATGCGCCTGCCCAGCGTCGCTTCCCCACCTGGGGGGGGACCCCCCCTCCCCAGGTGTTCCGGGACCGCCACGCCCCGAAAGCCTTCGCTCCCCCTCCCTCGCGGCGCTGGCGGGAGGTTTCTGGGAGTTGTAGTCCAAGAANCGCTTCTCTCTCCCGGGGCCACCGCTTTCACAGGGCAGGAGGACCCAGCCCGGCCTCGGCTGGTCTTTTTCATGGCTTGAAACCAAAGGTCGTTCTCCGGGTGTCGGGATCGCCAGGCGTGCCTGTCATGTATAACAAAAGGTTACCCAAAACAAGACAAGGCTTGCATCTAATCAAGGAGCTCTGAAGAAATATATTAGTGGTGCATCACAACTGGCGACCAGGAGAGGACCGAGTGGTCCATGGTACACGGCTTCTTGCTTTTTTCCACAGGCAACAGCAAAGGGAACGGTTTCCTAGGTCACATAATCAGAGGGGTGTCGGTTTGTCTTTTTGGACTACACCTCCCATCATTCCTCACCTCTAGAGACACCTTCTTTTTTAAAAAATAGCTGCACACCTCTGCTGGTCCTTTAGATCAGCCAGCAAGTACTGTAGCCCATTCTCCTGGTAGCCCATTCTCCTGGCCCCTGGAAATCCCTGAAAAATCTCAGTGTAGATTGTCAGAAAATATTGTCTGAATGCATATCCTGCAGAATGTAACGAGGCAGAAATCCTGTTGCCACCCCCTATGGCCAGTTAAGACTGATGATGCCATCAGGAGGGGGTGAGTTTTCAGAACATAGCAAAGTGTTCTGCTTATATATTGCCCCTTAAAGCTCTCTCCAGGCGGTTTGCAATTTACTTCTGCACGCAGCTCTTTGCCCCCTTGCCCCAGCAAGCTGGATGCTCAATTTACCACCCTCAGACGGATGGAAGGTTGCATTGACCTCGAGCTGGCTACCTGAGCCTGCTCAGACTCAAACTCAGGCCGTGAGCAGAGTCTTGACTGCAGTATTCCAGTTGAACCATTGTGCCACAAGACACTTAGGTTAAACATTTCCTACTTCCATGCCAAGGCTCCCACAGCTTCCATCTAATTCCTTGGATCCCTGTGAAGCTGTGGGAGCTGCGGGATGGGAGGAGGAAGTATTTAAGTGTGGAAAATAGCCCCCGTATCGGTAAAGTCATCCTGGCAGTGGCAATTATTGGAAATTGAAGACTTCTGTTTCCTGTTTCATGGTTCCCTTCACTTCTCGACCATGATTGCATAGGAACAATACATGAGAGGAGGGTGGAACTGAAGAAGACATGTAGAATTAATTAAATATTAGTAAACAGTACTGTATTAGTAAATTTAAAAAGGGCATTTAAATTATTTCTAAGTCCCCAAAACAACTTATAAGAGGATAGTGATAGCTGATCTCCTGTTCGCTAACATCTATTTGAGGTTTTGCTTCCAACAGATTCCTGGTTTTTAAAAAAGATGATAATTTATCTGTGTTCAATGGTGGTTCTGGTTTTTTTCAGGCTGTCTGGCCATGTTCTTGAGGTTTTTCTTCCTAACGTGTCGCCCGTCTCTGTGGCCGGCATCTTCAGAGGACCGGAGTCAGAACTCTGTCTGTGCTCTGGTGCAGTTTTGTGGGATAATTGAGTATTTATAGCTTTGGGATCAGTTCTGACACCTGTCCTCTAAAGATGCCGGCCACAGAGACTGGCGAAACATTAGGAAGAAAAGCTTCTGGAACACGGCCATGAAAGCCATTGAGAATATATTATCTGTGTTCCTTTACATTTCCTAAAAAGCACACTTTGGAAAAAACGTGTCCTTCCATGCTGTGATTTGTTGCTTTGGATTTTTCTCCCCCCAGACATTGAGTATCTCAAGTCCATCCTTCCTGCTACCACAGAGAAAGCTTTCTTCGAATACCTGCGCACTGTGGATGCGTCTGAAGTTTCCGTCTCCTCTCCTCCTGAGGGCTCCGTGGTTTTCTCCCGGGTAAGTGTTTCATGGAGAAACTTTTATCAACATAGCCGGGCTGTGTCCCCATCTTCAGTCATCTGGACTTTGTCTTCTTGACTCTGGATTGTGGTGGGCTCTGAGAGGAGAGAGCGAGGCTTTTAGGAGATCCGTTCTTTCCCGAATTCTCTTCCTGCAGGTGCCTCTGCTCCAGGTGAGGGGGCCTTTGCTGGTGGTGCAGCTTCTGGAAACCACCCTGCTATGTTTGATGAACTATGCCAGGTGAGACCTTGAAGGACAGCTTCAATTTTGGGTGCACCGGTTCATGTTTGAGTCAAGGGTTTCTTACTGTCCGCCTTCTAAAGGGGGATGCAGGTGTGTGTGAGAGAGGTTTCTCGAGAGGCCACCAGACAAGTTACCAAATTCCTGCCCAGAAACTGCTCATAATTTGTGATGCTGTTATACATGTTTAAATGGTTCAGTGCACGCCCTTGTGCCTTTTTTCTCTGGCAAGGTAGAAATGAGTAGGAAACGGTAACCACTAAGCACCCCTTAAATAAGTTCTAGACAACAGCATGAGATTTTTCAAAACTTAAGAGATTTGTGAGAGGGAGGGCTTATTTTTGGGGTAATATTACAAGCATCCTGAGAAATCATACTAGGGCTTATTTTCAGGCTAGGGCTTATTTTCAGGGAAACAGGGTATGTTTAATTGTTGTTTTAAAAATGTGATATTTATAATCAAACATAAGCTTTCCCATTGAGAAGTTTCCTTTTTCTCCTACCACATTTATTTACTCATTTAAATTATTTACAGTATATGCTGGCTTTCTCCCCATAGGAGACCTCAAGCTGCTCACAACAGATAAAATAAGAAATTTTAAAACACTTCATGAAGATCACATTTTAAAAAACCACAATTAAATGTACATCAAGGTTAAACCTATCAAGTATAAAAACAATGTAAAAAACATTTAAAACCTATGAATGAAAAACCAGTTTTCCTGAGATAACCGACTGCTTTAAAGGTTTGCCTGAGGAGGAAGGTTTTTTTCCCTGTCGACAGAAGGACAAGAAGGGAGGGGGCCAAGGAATACTTGTGTGTGGGATGCTTGTATTCTTTAACAAATTAGGAAATGTGGATTTTGTAATTTTATTTTCATGTAGCACCACTGAACATCTGCATTTTAATACCTTGCATGCTTTTCAAAAAGTTTTTTTTCTGGAATGGCATGTCTTTGCAGCAGCTCCTGTGTTTGTACTTGAAGTTGGAAGCTGGACAAAGCAGGAAAAAATTCCTCTTACGATGGAGCTGAATGCACAGTTGTGGTTGTGTAATATCCTGTCATTCTTTTCTCTCTTTTTTCCAGCAAGAATGAGTTTAGGTAGTAAATCGCTAGTGAGTGTAGATTGACAGGAGCCAGGAGTGTATCCGATGTCAGTCAATCCTGCTGGAGAAACACCGCACAGATGTTCCCGGAGTCCTTGGACCGCTAACGAATCACAGACATAAGATAGCTTCCCATCTTGCGTGGGTCTTCATCAGGTTGGCCACTGCAGAGACGGAGGTGGTGCAGAAGTAGCAGAAAAGTTTCAAAACCCAGGGGCGGTTCTGCAGGCCAACAAGATTGGAAGTGACATTTTAATCCATAACACTGAAGGTGAAATCTGAAACCTACCACTTCTGAGCTGCTTTTTTCCCCATTGCAGCCCCCTTTTTCTGGGAAGTTCCTTGGAAAAAAGGGACCTGCCCATAGATTTGGAAACGTCCATGTTTCTCCTGCACCATTTCTGTCCATCCACCTTAACTGTGTCCTCATTGGCCTCACCTGTGCTGGAGCGTCTTGGCAGGGCGCCAATCAAGCCGGCGGTTAATGTTCAACCTTGGTTTTCCTTCTTTAGCCTTGTGGCTACCAATGCGGCCAGGTTCCGGCTTGCAGCGGGCCCACACAAGAAACTCATAGAGCTGGGGCTACGTCGGGCCCAGGGACCGGATGGGGGCCTCTCGGCATCCAAGTATTCATACCTGGGGGGTAGGTTCAACCTCGCGGCCCACTGTTTGCAGGCCACTGGGTGGCACCTCCTTTCTCGCTGATGCTCTCACCCTTCCCTCTTTCTGGAGCTGAGACATGCTTCTCTGGAATTGTCCTTCCAGAATTGCCAAAGAGGGAGAGATCAGATTTTTTTTGTGGGGGGAGAACGGGGGCGTGGTGGTTTGCTCGACTCTGAGATGCTGCCAGATAACCAGTCAATCTGCAAACCTATGTAATTAATTTCCAGAAAGGTAGCTGCCTTAGCATGACTCCGTGTTGCTAGCCATAATCCTCACCAGAGCTTCAGCCGGACGGAGGGTTCTGAGATTGAACTAGGAACTCTTTGAATGCCAGTATAAAACGATGGCTTTTCTTCCCTTAATATTATTAATGCCAGCAGCCTAGATTAATTGTTCCCAGGCTGGTATATGATTAAGGGTGCAATCCTTTCCACTCTTACTTTGGAGAAAGGCCCATGGACCATAACAGGCCTCTCTTCTGAGCAAACCTCCATGGGGTTGCAGAAAAAGAAGTGCAACAATGATTTTTTTCCCAGTGTTCATCTTGTGATGAAGCCCTTTGGGGAACCAGTCTGTCGACATTAGTAGTTTTAAGGATTCATACCAAGATGTAAAGCAGCCCCTAGGAGCAATCTCTAAAACCCCAGAAATTTCCTTTTCTGCAATTAAAAAAAAAGCATTTTGCAGTTGCGGGGGGGGGGGCTTCTTATGCTACCCTTTCTTATGCTACCCAGTGTACCAGCTAAGAGTGAGATAAATTATGCTGGCACCTGGAGGATTGATATAGGTAGCTGAGGTTCCCTTGAACTTGACTCAGACTTCAGATCTCCTGGAAGTGGGTCCAGGGATCGATGTTAGAGGTCCCTGCTTTTCCCGACTCCTGTCTTCTCTTTTCTAGGCTTTGATTTCACGAGCAACGTGTTAGCCGGGAAACTGTTCGGGATTCCGGTGCGGGGAACCATAGCCCATTCTTTTGTGTCTTCCTTCAACTCGCTGGCCGAGGTGAAACCACGGGTCTGTATTAATCATCATCTTCATCTTAGAACTGCAGAGCTGGAAGGGACCTTATGGATCATCCAGTCCGTCCCCTGTCAGGGAAGCACCAAATTGAACTCTCCAACCTCTGTCTCCACCGTCAGAGACCTCAACCATTGAGCGATCCAGCAGAAGCACATGCAGGAGAGGGACCCAGAAAGATTAATTTAATGGTCCCTGCCTTCCCAAGATGGGGAGTCAAGTCATAACCTTAGTAACTGTTCAAGAACCCCATTACCTTGCTGAGTTCTGTCTTTTATTTATCACTACAGTGGTGCCTTGCAAGACGAGCGCCCCGTTTAACGACGAAATCGCATTACGCTGAACTTTTTGTGATCGCAAAAGCGATCGCAAAACGATGTTTCCTATGGGGGAATTTCGCTTTGCGATGATCGGTTCCCTGCTTCGGGAACCGATTCTCACAAAACAACGATTTTCGGCCAGCTGATTGGTGGTTTCAAAATGGCCACTGGGTTAAAAAAAAAAAGGCTCCCCGCTCTTTTCTGGGACGGATTCCTCGCTGCACGGGCAGTGAAAATGGCCGTGCTATGGAGGATCCTCGCTGGACGGTGAGTTTCAAGCCTATAGGAATGCATTAATCAAGTTTTAATGCGTTTCTATGGGCTTTTTAATTTCGCATTACGACGTTTTCATTCTACAGTGATTTCGCTGGAATGAATTAACGTTGTAATGCGAGGCACCACTGTATTTGTAAAATGCATTCTCTTGGTTTTTTGTCTTATTTCTGGGAGCACCCCAGATCAAAGTGACCTTACAAGGTCAATGAAAATCGGCACACTAAAAACTCTGAAGTAGTCCAGTTCACTGACAAATTTCGAAACAATTGGTTAAACAGTAAATGAGAAAATTAGTTTAAATTTTATTTTATTTTGGACTAAAACTCCCGACTGGCAAGGCCAGGGGGATGGCCAAATTGATTTTTTTTTTTGAGGCAAACACCTTTTTCTTTCTGGAGAAAAATAAGGAACACACACAAAAAATTAAAGCACGATTCTCTAGTCAGACTGAGCAGCTCAGAAAAAATGAAGAAGAAACAGAGGTTGGAGAAGTTACTTTTTGAAACACATGTTGTCCGTTCCTGGTCTACACAGAGGGGCGCACCTGGTTTTATTGCCTGGTTCCCACCTGCCATGTTAAGCTCCATCCAAGCTGGAAGCAGGTGAATCTTTTGGCGCATAAGAATTCTCTATTTTGGGTGCCCTGACAGTCTTGGCAGTGGGCGTTGGATAAGGGTCTCCATAAAAAACCCGAAAAAGCATGCAAGTTCATGAAGGGAGGAGAGAACTGAATAAATTCAATGGTCCCCAAACTCCACAGCTTGATAGCAACCCTCTCAGGTAGATTCAGGATGACAAGATGATGTCCAACGTGACAGAGGCGCCCAAGATCAACTCTGATAGCACCTGTAATTTTTCACCCTAGAACCTGGTCCCTGTTGGAGGTCAGAAGCCCGTTGACTTTCCAGCGTTAGCGGAGACATGGCTGAGCCGTGTATGCCAGTTACTCCAGGTCCCGCTTGATGGGGTGAATCAAGGAGAGCTGGCCGCCTTCGTGTCCTACGCCATCACTTTCCCGCAGAACTTCCAAGGCCTTGTTGACACTTACTGCGTTATGAGGTGAGCCATAGTTTGATGTCACCAGGTTGCGTGGCGTGTCATCGAAAACCTTCCCAAACATCCAAAACCTAAAATCTAGCCCAAGGATACAGGGATCAATCCAGATCTTGGAAAGGTTACTTGTTTGGACTACATTTCCCAGAATCCCCCAACCAGGTGTTACCACTCGGAAGTTGGATTCCAAGCTCTGGACAGATCTCACTCCAAAGAGTGCAACCGTCCTGGGAAGTTCTCCTGCATAGGGTTTGTTGACATTGACGGTTGCACAAGAGATGCTTTTAATGGAGAGGTGGTTGTGCCCCATGGAACCTGTTGTGAAAAGCCTGTCATATTTTCCGTCTTGGGAACCATTTAAAAAAAGCTGTGAGATTTTTATGGGATTTAGGTATCTTTTGCTTGCGGTGGTCATTCATTGCCGAAAGAACACAAACCCAGAAGAAGGGAAGGTCTTTTTAAAGAGGCTCAACCTCATCTCCTCCGGAGCTTGGAGAAGTTACTTTTTGGACTACAGATCCCAAAATTCCTCCAGCCCGGCTAGGCAGTACCTTTTCCCAACTCCCTTCTCCTCTAAGAGCAAATTCTGCTGGTGGGTGCCAGCAGAATTGGAACCAAAACAGGGTTGCTAAGGAGGCGAGCGTCCATGGGCTTTAGAAGAAAACAAAGAATCCAGAGGATGCAAAGTCTAAAGGGCAGCTCAGTGAGAACAGAATGTGCCTAAATGTTGCTCTGTGTGTGTGTGTATTCTCCCTCCGACAGCTGCAGGAGAAGAGCTCAGTGAGAACAGAGTGTGCCTAAATGTTGCTGTGTGTGTGTGTGTAGGGGGGAAACAAGGAACAAGGGGTGTGTGTGGAAGATCTTGCTTGAATCCCAAACAGGTTTAATTTGTAAATTAGTGCCAATTTCTCCCTGTGAGTTATGCTATTTGCCCTCTGCTGGTATAACTATGCAAGAAGACTTTGGCCATGAACTATTTCATTTATATCATGGCCAGTCTTCCTGTGGCTTGTAAAACTGATTTTAAAAACCAACAACACACAGATGACATATATTAGATGAAAACACATTTAAACTTACAATAATATTAAAAGATAAGGTAGCTTAACACAATTTAAAATGTTTTTAAAACTATATATTTTTTAAAAGCGCAATATTCCCCATTAAAATACAAATGCCAGAACAAGCGATACCTTTACAGGCCATTAAACATCATCCTACAAAATGCGAGCTTTTGTGGATCAAACACCACTTCATTGGGCCAAAAGCTTGCCTTACGTAGAATGATGTTTTAGTGGGATGTCAAGGTATCTCTTGTTCTTGCGTTTGTGTTTTATTTTATATGGACCACACGGGTCCCCTTTATTTCAATTCCCCATTAAAAGCTCATTTCTGTTCAGTTGCCAGCCTGGAAAGAAAAGTCTTAAGTCTGCTGGCAGAAGGAAAACAAGGTGGGAGGACTTTCCCCAGCCTGGGGGGCAGCTACTGAAAAAAGCCCCTCTCTCCTGTCATCGCCAGAGACGTCTGTGGGAGCAGGGGGCCTGAGAGAAAGGCCCGTATGGAAAGATCTTACAACAATGCAATGCAAAGCAATACAAAAAAATAATATTGTATTTCAATTAGTACATCGTTTAATTGCTTTTTAATGTTTAACTTAGTTTTTAATTCCTTTCCTTTTCCCCCCTCAGTGTTGTAAGGTACCTTGGGTTCACTTATCAGGAGGAAGGTGGCCTATAAATAAAACAAATACTCATAATCATCTTAAAGCCAGAGGAGGCTTCTGTGTGGGGATGCTGTTCTTCGGCCAGTTTCGGCCTTCAGTTTGATCTCGCAGGGCTTTGCCGATGGGTCATTGTGTGTTGTTGTTGTTTTAACCATCCCAAGGAGCGGGGTCCCGAACTTCTGCGCAGTCGCTCTGGCACTGAACGAGCTGGGATACAGAGCCGTCGGGATACGCGTCGACAGCGGGGACCTGGCTAAGCAGTCGGTGGAGATACGGCACATCTTCCGACTCTGCGGCAAGCAGTGAGTCTTGAGCTGGGTGCTGACATCATCCTGTGGTTGAGTTCTGGGGTGAGGGAAGGGGTGATTGTTGCCCTACGGAGAGCTGGGGTCCAGACAGAACCCCTGAACGCTGATCACAGCTGGGATGTGCCTGTGTTGCTGCGTAGCTACCCCTGCGCGTCCATTTCTCTCCCGCCCTAAGAGTTGCTGTCATGGCTAGCGTTCAGATGTAGGGTCCTCGGGGCAGAGAACTTTGGAAAGGGCTGCGTATAGGGTTGCCACTGTGTGCAACTAACACACAGTAAAGTTCGTACTGTCGTCTTGTATGCTTCTGCAGTTGGGAATTACAGAAGCAAAAAAAAGAACACCACCAAACAAACTGCTTTTATGCCGCCCCCTTGCTTTGATCGCCTTGCACTGCCACAGGAAAGAGGGAACATTTTAATTTTAATTTTATGCCCAGAAAAAAAGGGGAGGCAAGCAGCCATGCGGATTCTGTAGCTCAGTGAAGCTGCCGGGAATACCTTTCTCTAAGCCGTCAACCTCCCAATGTGGTAATGCTAGCTGGGAGTTGTTGTTTTGCTGATCGGGAAAGACAGTTGGATGAAAAAAGGCCTCAGGGCAAGGACAAAACGTTCACAAGGTGGATACTGGAGATCTGGAGGAATGCAGATAGAACACCTTTGCTTCCTATCAAGTCACGGCAGATGTAATGTAGAGATGTACCCTATTTCCCAGAAAATAAGATCTAACCTGAAAACATGCCCTAGTAGGCTTTTGCAGGATGCTCGTAATATTAGCCCTACCCCCCAAAAATAAGCCCCAGTTAAGTGAAACCCTAACTCTCCACCCTTGTGCAGCCACCAGATGACATGACTGTATTTGAATAAATATAGATTGTTGTACATGGAAAAAATAAAACATCCCCTGAAAATAAGCCCTACTGCATTTTTGGAGCAAAAATTAATATAAGACCCTGTCTTATTTTCAGGGAAACATGGTAATATACTGGAAGGTCCATGTCCCAGGGAAAAAGAAAAGAAATAAAAGCAATGTTTGAAAAATCAGGTCCAACCAGTGACTTTTAAAGTCATTGGTCCCTTTGATATTAAACCAACTGACCATGGACTGAATAGCAAGAAGTGGGTCACCCATAGGCTGAGAGGTGGAAGAGGATGGATTGGATGGATGGATGGATGGATGGATGGATGGATGGATGGATGGATGGATGGATGGGTTAGTCAATGGATGGACAGTCCCTTGTATAAGCATTATTTTCCTCCCCTCAGCCTATATATGGGGAAGAAAATCCCATATCCATCCACCTCTATCTCTCCCGCGCTTTCTCACCCCTTCTCAAGGAGGTGGGTTGCACAAACAGTCCAGGGCAAGCTGGACCCTTTAACCAGAGAAGCTAGGACATTCCACACAGCAACGCCCGGTCTGTATTGAAAGCCTGGGCATTCTTTATCAACCGGAGAGCCGTGAAATTCCGTTCCAAAATGGTGAGCAGGGGCCTGATCAGTTGGAGGGTGAGGAAGAAGGAGACAGCATGGAGAGTCCCTCGCAAAAAACAAAAGGCAGCAGGTCAGGCCCCTCCATCTAGCCTTGGAGGAAGCACACAGATTTCTCTGACGCTCACAGAGGTGGAAAAGAACCACAGCCCTGGTGGTGCCCCTTTTTTGGAGCATAAACTCCTAAAATTCCCACCACTGGCATGGCCCCAGAAGCCTCTCACCATCCTCTCGACGGGCCATGTTGCCTGGGGCATTCTGGGAATTGTAGTCCAAGCTCTGCTCTGGACTCTGGCTCCTCCCCTTTCCTCCCTATGTAGAGAGAACCCTACCGTAGAACTGGCTCTCGCTCTTCGTTGGATGAAATGGTGTTGCAGAGAAATGCGCTGGTGCTGGTTGTGCCATGGTTATTGCATGTTGCCCTTTCTGCAGACGGTTGGGGGGAAGGCCCCCCATTCAATCCCGGACAGAAAAAAAAAGACCATCCTGAGCCGTTGACCCAGGAAGGTCCTCCCTGTGTTGAGACCATGGATGGGAGGAAGGTCATCCTTGGTGCGGATGGACCTACTGGCGCACGGGGGGGGGGGGGGCAAACCACAGNCCAGATAGACTCATCTGAAGCAGGAGGCTCCTTTTCCACGGTTTTCTCTTTTCACCCAGCTTTGATGTCCCTTGGTTTGAAACGGTCCCCATCGCCGTGAGCAACGACGTGAGTGAACGGAGCCTCGAGGAGCTGGCCCAGCAGGTGATGGACATGTTCGTGCACGGTCCCCCCCCCGGTGCTTCCTGGCCCTTGGGGAGCTCTCTTTGTGCTGTTATTGTTTTCATGGGCATTTATGCATGTGAGACCCATAACAGAGCCTCGGGAGTGAGGAGTGCTCCTGTTCAGGACCCCGCTCATACCATTCCTCCTCTTTTCCTCTTCCCTTCCTCTCCATCCCCCCCCCCAATGATCCGTGTTCCAGACTCACTGAGCATCCTTGGTCCTCCTTGAACTTCTTTACTGCCCTTGGTGTTTTGTTTTGTTTTTCTTCCATAAGGTTCCATTTTGTCGTCCTTTTCTTTTTTGGTCCCTCTGAAAATTTTGCCACTCCCTGATGAAAAGTCCCTTATTTAAATGGTGGTCCTTATTTTGATGACATAAGGAATAAGGATAGGTGGTCAGAGAGCCGAGGCTTCTGTTAGCCGATGCAGAGATAGGAAACGCTGGCTGTGTAATTCTGGCAGCTGCAGTTTTAAAAAGTAACCTTTTTTGCTTCCTTGAGATTTTACCACTGGGACCTGCAACAAACTGGCCAAAATCCTGTTGCATAGCTCTGCCTGCACAACAAGAATGATGACGCCGCCACTAGCAGCACATTGCCACTAATTAAAGACTTCCTTTTTCAGTTTTGTGGTGTGCGCAGCTTGCATGCAATGAGACAAAGTCCCACGCACCCCAGAACTGAAAAAGGAAGCAACCTGCCACTGATGATGATGTCATTCCCATTGCAGCTGCAGAACCTCTGCAATAGGATTATGACCATTGTTTCAGGGTGAAGTGTTCTTTTCCAGGGTTCTAGACACTTCATTCAGCCCCTTCCCCTCCTTCGTGTATTCTGTACCCTCTCCATGCCCTTAAACACGTTTAGTCCTTACTGGGGAACTTTCTTTGCTTTCTGGGCACATGCAGGCCCTCAAAAAAAAATCTGTATTTTTTCAACCCTTAGGATTCCCCTCGGCCTTTTGTTACCTCCATCATATGCAGGGAAGGTGCCATTTTAGCCGCCTCACAACCTGCGTATGGTGGGTAAGAGCACTATTAGAATCTACCCTGATTGTCCTGTTCAAGCAGAACTATGAAAAATTAGGTTTTTGAGCCTTAAAGTTCCCAGAATGCCTCAGTGGCCTGGGGATTCTGAGAGGTACAATCAAAATAAGTAATTTTTGTCAAGCGGCTCAAAGGCCTTCACTTTAATTATTATTAGGAACTCATGAAATACAGTAGGACCCCTGTATCTTCGGGATCACTATCCACAGTTTTACTTATCCACAGTGACAGAGTAGCGGTATTACCAGGATTACACCAGGAGGCGATAACCAATAGAGCTTCCCAGAGATGTGAAGACACCAAGCACCAAACAGTCTTGAGAGCAGAATACTTGTATTAGTTACAGGATATGTACACATATATACAGCTTAGTCCTTTGTTTCCAGCCCCAATGTCATACACGGCAGTTTCCACAGAGTTCAGAGCATAAATCAGAGTCAGAGTCCAGTAAATAGATCAGTAGTTATATACCACGCGTCCAGTCCAACTTGCCAGAGTTCCTCTTCAATATCCAACACGTAGACACAGCATCCACCAGGATTCTCCAGCACAGCTCCACGACAAAAGCACTCCACGACCACATCAACAACCCACAACAAGTGTATGTGCTTGGTCTCCCAGCTTTATCCCAGGGATAGCCAATCCTGGGATTGCTCTCACAGCTGCTTACAATCACCTCAGCTGTACAAACTCGCGCCTTGCTTCTCTTTACAGCTCTGATTCTTACAGATGCTTATTTCATGGTGTAAAACTGCATTTAACAATTCCCTCAGGTTTAGTCCAAACCTGTCACACAGTTTGAAAATGTTAAAAATATTAAAAGAAAAAAAACAACAGAAAAAACTCTTTTCACATGTATTACTATAACTAACCACTGGAGGGAGGCAGAGACTTTCGATGAATATTTGTTAGTGAAGAATACATAGCATGGTTTCTGGTGCCCTCTAGTAGCCAGTTCTGGTAATGCATGTGAAAATAATTTTTATTTTATATATATAGACAATATGTTCACTATCATCCAGGTTTTCAGTATCTGTGGTGGGGCTTGGATAAAGGGATCCTACTGTGTCTCAGGAATGTGGCTCTGTGTTATTAATCATCTTCTCCATATTTGGTCCATAACATTACCCCCACATCACAGATGGTGGTGGGGAAGACCAAGGCTGCGACACCGTGGCTTTCTTAAGGCTGCCGAATAAACTGAGAACAGGTGATAATGGTTCAGCTCAAAGTGAAAACTCTTTATTAACCTGTGCTCCACCTGTTGTTTTCCATGCACAGAGGCAAAGGTTTACCTTCTTTGAGTCGCACAGGGTTAACCCTTTACTGGTGTGGAGGGGTAGTGTGGAAAACTCAGTGGGAAACCCCGTCCTCTCTGTCTGCCAAGGGCACATGATTCACCTCTGCTCTTCTTGCTGTGGTCCTGACAGGGGAATGAGATCGACATGATTGGTGTTGGGACCCACATCGTGACATGCCCGCTTCAGCCGTCTCTCGGTTGTGTCTACAAGGTAACCGGTCCCTCTCTTCCCCTCCCCGTGGGCTTCCACGGCCAGGCAGGAGTTGGTTTCAGAACCTCTTTTGGTTCTGTAGAGACGGTCCCTAGCCTGGTGCGCTCATGATACTTTGGACGACAGCTTCCAGAAATATTCTGATCCTTTTTTAGGAGATTTACTAGCCTTCAGCCCTTGAGTCAGCCTGCTCGAGAGGGTTGCCTGGGGATTCTGGGACTTGTAGTTCAGACTTTCCCAAGTTCCGTTGCCTTGAACCGTGATCTCCTGAACTGGTGCCCTCCAAGCAAGTTGAACCACAATTCGTGTCCTGTCCGGCTGGTCCGTCCATATCCATCATGCCCGATGCCTAATATGACATGTGCCAGTTTGGCTTCCATTAAAAACCTGTCCCTCTGCCCTCAGCTGGTGGAGGTCAACGGCGCTCCAAGACTGAAGGTGACCGAGGACAAGGAGAAGACAACCATTCCAGGGAGGAAGGTGGTCTACAGACTCTGGAATGCTGATGGTGAGATTTGCAGGCTGCTTTTGAACACACAAAGCTGCCATGTGCCATCGGACCCCTCGCTAGACTGGCTCCATTGAATGCGTAGGAATGGGGTTTATGTCCTGGCCAGCTATGCACCGTCATGTTTGTCTGTTTGTTGAGTATCTCCCTTTTTTTCTGAGCACATCAGGGTTGGGGGATGCATGACCTGCAAGCCACCTGCAGCACCCTTGGGGGTCCAAATGCCCTTCCCCCCAGATTTTCAAAAAGCTTTTGACTGTGTGGGTCACCTTGTGAGCTCAGGGTGTGTGCATAGGAGCAGTTTTCCAAGTTTGGAAGGGGCCCACCTGGCCAACCCCTACTCACCTGAAATAAAAAGTCCAAAACCCTGATGGGAAAAACACATATGTGTGCGAGGGCAGTTGTGGAGTGATGTTTCCTTTGTAGCTTGTTGTCCATCACACAACCTCTTCCCAGACCCGAGAAAGCAGGGGACTGTGACAGGCAATGGGCTGCACAGAGAGGCTCCTTGGCCTGATTGTCCACTTACGTTGCCAGGATTGATCAACAGGTCCCTCGCCATCAGGATAGATCCTGGTCTCATTGAATTGCAGTACTATCTAGTGGTTTCGGTAGCGCTCAAGTCTTGCAAACTCAGGCTCCCATGACTTCCTTTACTGAATCAGTCCATCTCTTGTTCGGGCTTCCTCTTTTCCTACAGCCTTCCCCTTGTTCCAGCATCGTTGTCACGCCAACGGCCCTCTCTTTACTTGCAGGATTCCCATGTATGGATCTTATGGCCCTGGAAGACGAGAGTCCACCCAAGGCTGGGCAGGAAGTGGCGTTCTGGTCCTTAGGAGAGACCGAGGAAGCTGGGACGTTGGTTCCCACGACCGTAGAAATCTTGCACCGTCCGTATTTCAAAGACGGACAGGTGAGAGAAAAAGCACCAGCATGGGTGTGTGTGTGTGTGTGTTTCCCCACAGCAAATCCTCTCGGTACAGGCCCTGAAATTTCCCAGTCGAGCGGGGAGACCAGCCCCAGTGAAGGAAAAAGTTAAAAGGGGAGCCTCGGGGTCTGCTGTCGCTCGAATCACAGTGAGGACCACCAGCTGTAGAAAACAGCAATAATAACCCTGTCTTTTATGACTGGCTGTATTGTTTAAAAGTAAGCCCTATTTTTCCCGGGGTCTCTTTTTGGATTGCAAGGTTTCCAAGATCTAGTAGGTTATGAGGCTCATCTTCCGTGATAGAATGCCCCCTTGGTTTTTGAAACAAACAAACAACACAAGCGACAGTCCTCGCACTCTGAAAACTAGCATGTCAGGGAGAAACAGCTACATGTTCGTTCTGACAGGCTAGGATTTAGGGGTTGGAATTTCTTGAGGAACACTCCGCATCGCATGCAACGAGTAGTGTTACAGAAGGCATGAAGAGAGAGAGAATGCTCTGCCTAAGACCAAGTCAGTCTAACTCAGGATTCTCTACGCAGACCAGCGGTGGGTTTTCTGGTCTGATCAACCCCTCCCCCCCCTGTTGCTGGACTTTTCTCTGTTGCAGAGGGCTGAAGCTGGGTCCTTCTGGATGCAGAGCGTGGACTCGGCCTCCTCGGGCGGTGGCCCTTCTGTCAGACCAGCAAGCTTCCTAGTATAGCTTTCCGAGGAGCAAAGGCCCTTCCCTCCCAGCGGTCAGCTTCCCCAAAATGATCTGATTCGCCGACTGCTTGAAAAAAGTTATCTGGACTCGCAGCATTCCCAAACCGTACAAGAATTTTGGGAGTCCTCGTAACCACTCCGCCAAAGTCACTTTTCCTAGCTTTGGGATTGAGCAGGCCTTGGGTGTGATCCAGCACAACTCTTCTTACACAAGAGAGAATCAGCAGCGAAGGGCTTATTTATCATCAGGGTTTGGGACAAGGGTGTTTGTGTTAAAGAAGACCCTCTCCTCGAACAGCAGTGAGAGGAAAGCAGGTGCAAGAGGTGGCCCATCCTTCCTGAGAAAGACTCCGAGATGCTTTCCTGGGTGGTGGGACCCCTTCGAGGAACAGGAGCTGTGGGTTTGTTGTCACGAGAGACGGGGAAGATGGGGGGGGAGTTGTGCAGCCGTGGGGCAAAAGCATCTCGCGCAAACGGGGAAGGGTGTCTGTGCTAGGCCAGGCCCCCTCAGGATACGGCTCCTGGTAAATCCCATAAAGGCTCATCAGAGCAAAAGGAGAGAGAGAAAAAACGAGAGGAATGGGCCTCCGGGAAAGCCCTCAGTGAGACCTCCGTGGGGCCTTCGTTGTGAGCGTGTGCCTCTGAACCCTAGTGGGCAGCTAGTGGATGGCCCTGAAAGGGTTTCCCAGAGGTATCTGGCCAAGCAGACCAGTCAAAGAGTTAGGTGTCTTTTAGATCTGGTCTAATGGAGCATTTAAGGTGCCTCTCTTTGTTCATGATGACAAACCTCGACAGCATCTTAAAAAGCAGAGGCATCACCTTGCCAACAAAGGTCCGCATAGTCAAAGCTATGGTGTTTCCTGTAGTGATGTACGGAAGTGAGAGCTGGACCCTAAAGAAGGCTGACCACCAAAGAATGGATGCTTTTGAATTGTGGTGCTGGAGGAGGCTCTTGAGAGTCCCCTGGACTGCAAGAAGAACAAACCTATTCGTTTTCTGAAGGAAACCAACCCTGAGTGCTCCCTGGAAGGACAGATCCTGAAGCTGAGGCTCCAGTCCTTTGGCCCTCTCATGAGAAGAGAAGACTCCCTGGAAAAGACCCTGATGTTGGGAAAGTGTGAAGGCAAGAGGAAAAGGGGACGACAGAGGACGAGATGGCTGGACAGGGTCATTGAAGCGACCAACGTGAATGTGACCCAACTCCGGGAGGCAGTGGAAGACAGGAGGGCCTGGCGTGCTCTGGTCCATGGGGGTCATGAAGAGTTGGACACGACTAAACAACAACAAGGTCTCTCTCTCTCTCTCTCTCTTTCTTTGTGTGTGTGTGTGTGTGTTGCACTGCAAGCCCCATGCTCCATCGCTGGCTAAGGCAGCTGGGACCTGTGCTTGAACAAGTGGCCAGGAGTGCCACAGGTTCTCCATCCTTGGCCTAAAACACAACTTTGTTTTCTCTCTTCTTCCCCCCCCCCCAAACGGGGCCAAGGTTTGCCCGTCGCTGCCCAGCCTGGAGGAGATCAAAGGCCACGTCCAGGCGTCCTTGGGCAAGCTCAGCCCTGCCCATAAGAGGCTGCGGGACCCGGAGGCGTACCAGGTACGGGCTGGTGGGCTGGTGGCACCCCCTAATGGAAGTTCCTGACTGGCTGAGAGAGAGGTAGGACGGGGAAGAGTGGAACGGGCAAGGAAACACAGTCAAGGCACCGCATTTCCAGTTTTGCACCAGCGACAGGTTAGCAATCCAAGGTGGTCAAGAATCCAGAGCCGGAGGGCCTGATCTCCTTGTGTGGGTGTGAGTGGGTGTGTGGGGTGACGCTAAGCATTGCAGCTTTCCTTAACCCCCTCTTGTCCATAAGTATTGCCTTGCCATCCCCATCATCCCCTGCCACCTTAACCCATGGGGGAATGTGCCAATTCTAGAAGATCCCACATCTAGGAGGAAAAGGGTTAGGGGGAAGGCCCAGGGTATCTCGACTCCCCAAGCCAAGCGTACAACAGAGAAGGCACAGAGGTGGGAGCCTTTCATCTCCTGAGCGCGAAAGGTATCGTAAGAATATCAAAAGAGCCCTGTGCTGGATCAGGCCAAGGGCCCCTCTTGTCCAGCTCCCTGTATATCCCACAGGGGCCCCACCAGATGCCTTTGGGAGCCCATGAGACCATGAAGGACCTCTCTCCTGATCCCCCTTCCCCTGCATCTGGCATTTGGAGGCCCCATCATGGCTTGTCACCTGCGAGGGACTTTTTCTCTAGGAATCTGTCCAATCCGCTTTTCAAGGCCTCTAGACCTGATGCCATCACAAACATCCTGGGGCAAGGAGTTCCACAGACACGCCAGACTCCATCAACCACATCCTGGGGCAAGGAGTTCCACAGACACTGGGTCAAGAAATATTTTCTTTGGTTTGTTCTCACCCTCCCAACACTCCACTGGAGTGGGTGTCCCCCGATTCTGGTCTTGCGTGAGAGGGAAAAGAGCTGCGTCCCCCGATTCTGGTCTTGCGTGAGAGAGAAAAGAGCTTCCTTCTCTCCACTTGATCCACCCCCTGCATGATTTTACACGTCTCCATCATGTCTCCCCTCACGTGCCTTTTCCCTAGACCCAAGAGCCCCAAGCGCTGTCACCTTTCCTCATAGTAACACAACCCTTCCTGTCAGAGTCACCGGGTGGTAAATGTCCTGTCAGAGATGTAGCCCACGTGAGCAGTAAAGTCAGGGAAGAATTTTTAAGCATGTTTTTTAACAGAATGCAACCACAGACCTCCTCTCGGTGAATAATCCTGCTTTGTCAGGGTTTCTGATCACATTGAAGTTTTATTTAACTTTTTATATTTTAGAATTTTTAGAATTTCTTGTCCAGATGAAATCCTGATACGACTCCTCCTCCTCCACTTTCTTTTGGTGATTATCTATCTTGCCTCCCCTACAGTGACCTGAAGGCAGGCAGCTGTCTGTCCGTCCCACGGCCCTCCTTTCTTGTGCTTTATCCTGCTGTGCTTGGCCCAAGGTCACTCCGTGAGCTTCACCACCAAGTCAGAACTGGAACACAGCTCTCGAGAGTCCTAGGCCAGCATTCTAATGGATGTTGCCACGCGGGTTCTCGATTAAACGTTGGAATCAACCCTTAAACCATCACGAGGAAGGGGTGACCTGTGTGGCTTCTCAATTCTGCTTCTCCCCCCACAGCGGGAGCTCACTGGCTTGTTTTCCCGATGAGGCTGCGGGTGCGAATCATGTACAAATCGACTCTTTGTAAGCTGCTAGATGGGCAGGATAGAAGTACAATAAATAGATAAAATAAATAAAAGTAAATGAGGCCTGCGTGTAAAAAAAATCCCTCTGTCACTCTTTATTGGCTTGCCTCTGTTCTCAGGTAGCTGTGACAGAAAAGCTCCACTCCCTTCTCCTTGACCTTCAGAGCAACAGCCGATGAACAAAAATCTCCAGGCCGGGAACGGAGGCATCCCGCCCCCCCCGGGCCATGCACTGAATCCTTCCCTCCGCGGCAGCTGCGACAAACAGAACCCCTTGACCTGCCTGAGATGTGCCAGTTGAATGTGTGCGTTTTTTTACCCTCTCGTGCCTGACTCAGAAAAAGTTGGGTGGCGATGATCTTTTCCTGTTTTAAAACAAGAGAACAAAATTTCCGAGAGAGGTAATGTTTTAGAGATAATTTTGCAATAAATGGACCTAAATTATTCTAATACAATAGAAAAATAAAATGAATCGTGCTGCTAACCTTTATCCTGGATTTTAGTGTGTTGTGCATATTAGCATCTTTTTACAACTGGCAGAGCTTGGCAAGAGACTTTGAGGAAACGTGAAATACAGAGTGACTTGCTGAAGACCTCTATTATCAAGCATTCATAGAAGACATGGGAAAGTTTGGTGCTTTTTTTTACTACAACTCCCATAATACTCCAGCTGAGTTGCTATGGGAGTTGTAGTCCAAAATGACTTTTCCCAATATTTCACAAAACATCATGCTACAACTTACGAATGGCTTGTGCATGTCATTTTTCTTAAACGTGTGCCAGTGTGCTCTCATGGTTAGAGTGACAGACTATGATTCAGGAGATCTGAGTTCAAATCCCAATGTAGCCGTGAGACAGTTTCTGAGTGACTTTGGCCAGTCACCATCTCTCAACCTGCTCTGCCTTACAGGGCTATGAACCCACATTTCCCGAGTCCTAGTCTGATGTGATCACCACCACAACAGATCACTCCCTCTATACAGGGGATAATAATATTATCCAGCATGGTCGGATGGTTGCAAAGATTTCAACTAGGTTTATTTATTGGTATCTCTTTACCCGACTTTTCCTGCCATGAGCTTGTTGTTACGTCCTGTCAAGTCACTCCAACGTAATGGTGAGCCTAGGAAAGAGTGATCTCGAGAACGTCCCTGTCCTCAACAGCCCTGCTCAGCTTGTAGATTCGAGCCTTTGGGTTTCTTTAGGGAGTCCGTCCACCTCGTATTTATTGGGTCTTCCTCTTTTCCTGCTGCCTTCCACCTTTCCCCAGCAGGATGGTCTTTTCCAGGTCATCCTCGCTTCTCGTGATGTGCCCAAAATAGGACAGCTTCTTTGATCATCCTCGCTTCTCATGATGTGCCCAAAATAGGACAGCTTCTTTGCATCCAGAGATAGTATAGGCTTGATCTGATCTAGGACCCACTTGTTTTGCATCCAGAGATAGTACAGGCTTGATCTGATCTAGGACCCACTTGTTTGTCTTGCTGGCAGTCCAGGAAATCTGCAAAGCACCCCAGTTCAAGCAAACAGATTTTTCCTGCTAGCTTTTTACCAGGATCACATTATCTCAAACTGCCACTTGTGTTCTGAAGCCAATTCACAAGACTGTGTTTGAGCTTGGATCTGCTGGGTTTTGGATCTTCTGGTTGGAGGTTAAGGGGCGTGTATGCGGGGCGCACAACGGGCTTCACCGGCCCGGCCCGCACATGCCTCCTTTGACCTCGTTTTTAAGGTACCTTTTTGTCAACAAGGAGGCCATAAATCTGCACTGGGTTTTTTGTTCATTTGTTTCCCACAGCAGTGACTTGGTGTGTTTCTTGATTTTTTTATTTTTTGCTAGGTGCAGAGTATCTGAACAGGAGTTTGGAGGTAGGGAGGAACAGCTGGCTGTGAAGCTGGTTGCTGCAAGATTGCATGGGCATCCTGGGGGCCAGGAAGAGAATGGAGGAAGCAGGGGTGCCAGGAACTGAAGACATTGGAGAAAGGAGCCTGGGGCGCATAAATATGTGGCAAGAGGCGTTAGGAGGCCATCTCTCCTGTAGTCCAGCACATAGAATGGATAGTACCTGGGTTGGGAAACCCAGAATCGGCAAGGGGTGGGTGCTGTTTATATTTGCCAGGGAAAACTGGCACAGCCAATATGGTCCTGATTCCTGCCACAATCCTGAAAGAAGGATAACTTTTACTAGGTGGGTTGCGGCTAATGGTGGTTGAGGTTCTTAAGCCGGGGCTCAAGGACGCCCTGCCAGCCCTGATCTCTGCTAGGAGTTTTCTGGATGTGGGATGAAAACAAGCAGAGTTGTCAACATTTATAACCGCTGGCTGGGAAATTACTTAAAGCACTTTTCATGGCTGTGCAAATAATCCGTAATACCAAGGGCACTATAACCTGGGCGGTTTGGTCATGGAAAAATCAAGGCTATCAAAGGCAAATGAATAGTGGTGTTGCTTCTTACAAGAAAATGTTTTGAAAAGTTGGTTGTTGTAGGGGTTTTTTTGGGCTGTTTGGCCATGTTTTTCTTCCTAATGTTTCACCAGTCTCTGTGGCCGGCCTCTTCAGAGGACAGGAGTTAGAACTCTGTCTGTGTTCTGGTGCAGTGTGTGGGATAGTTGAGTATTTGTAGCTGTGGGATCAGCTTTTTGTCCTTTTCAGGAGATCGGGTGATTATGGTGATCACACACTACACCAGAACACAGAGTTCTAACTCCTGTCCTCTGAAGATGCCAGCCACAGAGACTGGCGAAACGTTGGGAAGAAAAACCTTCAGAACATGGCCAAACAGCCCGGAAAAACTACAACAACCATGAGATCCTGGCCGAGAATATTTTGAAAAGTTGTTTCAAAACAGCTTTTTGGGAAAACAGAGGTTGATAAGGCTGTGGTGCCACCCTGTGGCAAATGGTGGGGAAGAACAGGCCATTCGTGCTGCCTGTTTTCATAGTAGAAGTCATCTATGGTTTGCAGGGGAGTTGGGACTCTGGGGCGTGAGGGATGCTGGATCCTGAATTAATCCTAAACACAGCTGTGTGTTTAGTCGTTTAGTCGTGTCCGACTCTTTGTGACCCCATGGACCAGAGCACGCCAGGCCCTCCTCTGTGACAAGTGTCACATTGCAGAGAACAGCAGATATAACCAAAAACACACCGGAGCTTTCACACATACATAGAACAAGGATAATCACCTAACTCCTTTCACTTAAAACACTAAATTTTACTAATATTTAAAGTATTGGGTACTAATACTGATGCATAACAAGACACGTTTTTAATTTTGCTTCAAGAGTTCATATTTCATCAACAATATAGGTCTTCAGCCCCTTAATCAAGGAGATAAAGAACAGTATCGCTGAAAAATTAATTGAAATAAATACAGACATTAAAATAGCAGACAAATGAATAAAGGAGTTTAACAAGATAATTTTGACAAAAGCAGCTAATGAGCTTCATATATTATATTTCTTTACGGATCAAACACTTTCTTTTTATTTCATTAATTGGGATCTCAATAGATTATTTCATTTTCTACCTCTTATAGGTAAGACTCAAGAGTGAAGTTTAGAGTATGTACAAGAAAATGAGTTCTCTGAACATCTGTGAGTATTTAACCTTCTTTCCTCTCTCACTGTTCATTTATTTCCAGATCTGAACATTACTCAAGCGGTATAGCCTGCCTACATCACAATAAACAAAGGGACCAGTGGGAGCTGGTAACTCCAATTTTGTGAGGACAGTGAATCACTATTGGGTTTTAATTTGAACTTTAAAGGAATTCATGTTTATTTAAATCAGGTTAGATATTTTAGTATTATTCAGGATATTTTTTTAAAAAATACAGGCTGGGAGCAGAGTAGAAAGCCAGTCTCCTGGGCATTCATTGTGCATGAGGAAACTGCTGCTGTAACAGTCTAATTTCCACTTGCACATGGAGTTAACAGGTACCTCCTTGCACATGGGAGAAAAAGGTTAAACCACTCATACAACAGTCTACAGTGGGGTCTTGACTTAAGAACGGCTTGAGTTAAGAACATTTTGACTTAAGAACTAATCTCATAGGAAAATATTGACTTGACTTAAGTACTTAGATTTGAGTTAAGAACTGAAAAAAACCACGCGGGAGGCAGGGAAAGTGCAAAATGTGAACTTTCAGTTAACTGCTGGCCAGTGAAAAGGGTGCCTGTCTGCTTCCTCACTCCTCCCAGCGTTTAGAGAGTGGATTGGGAGACAGTCTTCAGACTGCCTGGTACTGTACTGCCTGGACTGTATTTTTCCTGCCTTCCCTGAACCTTTCTTGACCTAAGAAAAAAAAGAAACAAAATATCACCCTCTAGTGGTCGAAGGCGCAATAGCAACTTCCCATTGGTTTCTATGGACGGAAAAGAGCAGATACGGATCAAATGGTTTTCAATGCATTCCTATGGGAAATGCAGATTTGACCGGAGAACTTTTTGACTTGAGAACCGCCTTCCAATACGGATTAAGTTCTCAAGTCAAGACCCCACTGTAGAAGTCATCTGTGGGTTGCAGGGGAGTTGGGATTGTGGGGCGTGAGGGATGCTGGATCCAGAATTAATCCTAAACACAGCTTCTCTGCCATACCTGGTGGGTGTCAGGGTTGAAGTCCAAAGGCTGAGCTGATATTCCATTTTTTTTTCTTGTGGTGCTTTGGGAAAGGGCTGAACTGACTTGGCGGTGTAGCGAAAATGCAGGAATGCTGCTGGAGGTTGATACAGCCAGAGCCTGGGCAGTAACTGGGCTCTTAGAAGCCTTGCCACCAGAAGTGGGGAGGCAGCAGTAATGAAACCCTCATGATTTTTCTGGAGAAATGTGTCATCGTGCTTCTAGATGTGTTTAAATTTTTAAAAAAGGAGGGGCAGGAGGGGTGTTTTTTTGCTGTGGGAGACTTCTACAATCTAGGGGCCGTCTCCCCACAGATGTTGCTTACCATTTTTACTTTTTTGGAATTCCAACACCCATGGCAGGATCTTGACAGACAAAAAGTACATGCCGGATTTATCTCTGCAAAGCCTCCGAGAAAGGCTGGTAGGTGGGCAGCAGGGGGGTGCCGGCGTTGAAATAGCCTTTAAATGGGCAGTCAACATCCAGAAGGCAGAGGGGGCCACACAATCCACCATGCTTCGTACCGTAAGGGAAAATGGTGAGCAAGTGGGGGGGGGGAACACTTTTTCCATCTGAGGGGGTGGCAAATGCCAAACTCGGGTGTTGTGGGAAGAGGCTCTGGATTGTCTAGGAAGGATTTAGATTCCTGGGGCTTGCATGTCCTATCCCCTAAAGAAATGGCTTCCTGTGGGAGGTGCAAACAGATGTTACACCAATATTTTGGTATAACTAATGGAGTAGGACTTGGGAGGTCTGGGTTCGAATCGCTGCTCAGCCATAGAAACTTACTAAGGTGCGTGTATGGAACTAGTAAAACGATTCCTTAACTGTCTCTCCTTGAAAGCCCAGGAACAACAAGGATGCATGGATTGCCCTGTTTTTTTTCTGGCCATATAAGAATATAAGGTCCGTTTCCTCCCTCCCGTCCCCAATTTCCTCTTTGCACATTTGGGTCCCACTGACTGGTAGTGTAGAATTGCTCACAGGGTGACACTGGAGGACTTCTGCGTACCATGGACACCATCCATCATCCACCACCTTCCAGTGTTCTTGTACTCCTTTGGTTTACCTGCAGTCTTCACAGCGACCTCCATCACAGTTACAAACATAGCTATGTGGGTGCATGTTCCCCCGCTTCGGTGGGCAGGGGAGGTATGCCCCCAAAGATGAACCAACCCTGGCTAGGCTGAGTTACAAAGGGTCTCCTTTTGTGTAAGTCAGGTGCGCTGGTGGTTTTCTAAGCCTTCTTCTGGGTGCCTCTACCTTCAGAGGTGAGAAAAGGGCCTTGGTGCCTTTCTAAGGAGAAAGGTGGGGTGAAAGTATTTTAGATAAAATAAATGAATAAATGATCCTTGACCAGAAAACTATCCACCAGAACAAAATACAAAGGGGGTAATGAGGACATGGAGTGAGAATGGATGATGGTCAGATTCCAAAAGATCTCCTGTATGGAGAATGAGTGCAGGGAAATCGCCCCAGAGGGAGACCATAGCTGCGATACAAGGACATCTGCAAGCGGGATCTGAAGGCCTTAGGAATGGACCTTCACAGAATGGAAACCTTGACGTCTGAGCGTTCAGCCTGGAGGCAGGCGGTGCAGCGTGGCCTCTCCCAATTTGAAGAGATCCTTGTCCAGCAGGCCAAGAGGCAGTCCCGAAAGCAGCAAAACCAGGGAGCTGGACAGGGGACAGATTGTATTTGTCTTCAGTGTGGAAGGGATGGTCACTCTAGAATTGGCCTTCTCAGCCACACTAAACGCTGTTCCAAGACCTCTATTCAGAGCATGTTACCATAGGCTTTCGAGACTGAAGGATGCCTGATCTGGTGCCCTGTAGTGGCCACCCTGCAAATACACCCTATGGACCAGAGCACGCCAGGCCCTCCTGTCTTCCACTGCCTCCTGGAGTTGGGTCAAATTCATCTCGTCCTCTGTCGTCCCCTTCTCCTCTTGCCTTCACACTTTCCCAACATCAAGGTCTTTTCCAGGGAGTCTTCTCTTCTCATGAGATGGCCAAAGTACAGTATTATAGCCTCAGCTTCAGGATCTGTCCTTCCAGTGAGTACTCAGGGTTGATTTCCTTCAAAATGGATAGGTTTGTTCTCCTTGCAGTCCAGGGGACTCTCAAGAGCCTCCTCCAGCACCACAATTCAAAAGCATCCATTCTTCGGCGGGCGGCCTTCTTTATGGTCCAGCTCTCGCTTCCATACATCACTACAGGGAAGACCATAGCTTTGGCTATGCAGACCTTTGTCAGCAAAGTGATGTCTCTGCTTTTTAAGATGCTATTGAGGTTTGTCATCGCTCCCTACTCCTTTCCCAGTTTTGAACCAATCAGTTGTTCCATATCCAGTTCTAACTGTTGCTTCCTGTCCCACATATAGATTCCTCAGAAGATAGACAAGGTGGTCAGGCACTCCCATTTCTTTAAGGACTTGCCATAGTTTGCTGTGGTCCACACAGTCAAAGGCTTTTGCATAGTCAATGAAGCAGAAGTAGATGTTTTTCTGGAACTCTCTGGCTTTCTCCATAATCCAACCTGAAGACTAACTTTGCTTTTTAAAGTGAGCTTTCCTGGACAAGTCCACTCATCAGCCTGATAAAATGTTTTTGTTTTGACTTTTTCTACTTTTTTTAAAATGTTGTTTTCACCTATAATCTTTGCACAGACTACCCTTTCTACAACATCCAACAACATGTGGAGACTGAAGAACACCAAAGAGAAGAAAATAACTTTTATGGACAGTCCTGCCTTGCCTTTTTCACTGCTGGATGAAGGCATCGCCTTTGTATTGAGTGTGTGCTCCTATTTAACTGTTAATAATTTTACATTCCGAGGAAGCCCTTTGAGGTTGGTATTGTATGAAATGTGTGTCACACAGTTAAGTCATTGGGTCGCCCTGGAGACCAGGGGGCGGTGCCCTGAGGGGGCGGTGCCAGGGGCTTTCCGTCGACGCTCCTGCCGCCTTCCTCTTCCTCCTCTCTATGGCCTTCCCCCCATCCGGAGGAAGGAGAGTCGAGACGCGGCCCGCAGCCCCGCCGGTGAGCCCGAGGCGCCCTCCCGACCCCTGCGGGGGGAGAAGACCCTCCCTCCACGGACCGGAGGAGGCCCTGCCCGGCTGTGTGTGTGTGTGTGTGTGGTTGTGAGGTGCCCCACCCCTCCTCCCCGCGTTTGAATGCCTTCTTCCCCCTTTTCCTGCCGAGACCCGCTCCCTGAGGGAGGCGTCACGCCCCCAACCCGTGTCTCTCTCTCTCTCTGCGTGTGGATGTGCGCGCGCGTGTACAAACACACACACGTGTGTGTGTGTATTGGCTTTCTGGGTCGCGAAGGGGCCTCTGACGCCTTGCCTCCCCCAGCCAGTGACCTCCCGCCGTTCCCCTGCTCGGTTCTGGAAGGACCCCCGAGCCCGTGGCTTCCGTGAGGGGGGGGTCGGTCCCTCTCCCGTTTGTGTGTGTGTGTGTGTGGGGGTGTCTTCCTCTCCTCCTGCCGCCTCCCCCAGCGTTGAGGTCCCTTCCTGGGAGAAAGAGGAGAGAGACTCAGCCCCGTGGCTTCCTTGAGGGAGTCTGACCATCTGGTATTTTTTTTTTTGTCCATCTGGTATTTTTTTTGGGGGGGGGGTTTCTTCCTCTCCTCCTGCTGAAAGGGGGCTTTCCGAGCATGGTGGTCTTTCCCCCCAAAATCCTCCCTTTCCAGAAAGTAGGACTATCTTTGGTTTCCACATTTCCAGGAGCCCTAGAGATAATAAACAGATTTGTGTTGTATTTGCTCTCAGGGGAGAAACCGGCATATCGCAAACCTAAAAAAGGGTTTTAAAGGTAAATCAACTATTGAAGGGGTGGTTATACCAACCGTCCCATGGAGTTATCCGTCGCTGAAAGGGGGGGGAGGATTTGAACCCAGAGTCCGTCTCTCGGTCTGCGACCTCACCCTGCCTCTTCCACACACACACAAAAAGACAATGGCGTTACTGCATGGTTGTGACAGGTTGAAGCGTGTTATTGTACCGAAACAGCCAAACAGTTAAAAATAAGGATGACACGTATTAGTCCAAGATAGGGCCAAGTCATTCCCTACCAATCCTGTTGGTTTTAAAAAAAAATCCCCCCTTTCAGTCAGTCCTGCAGAACTTTTCCTGCTCACAGAAGGCCAGTGGGAAGGGTGGGTGGTGGGTGTTGTACCCCCCCCTTTACTATTCCAGATGACAAAAAACAATTTTATTTAGGTCAAACCCATGCTGTCATCGTCTTAAAGTGTATCAGGAGACAAGCAAGATGGACTGGATAAAAGAGTGCCTTTGAAGAAGTGGGTTTTTTCCCCATCCAGAATTGTTTATAACTGGTAGTAAGTCTGTTAGTCTTTTAGGTGCTAGAACTTCTCTTTGAAGTGGACCTCACCGACCAGATAGGCGGGATATTAATTAATTAATTAATTTTTTTTTTTGCTGCACTGGTTGAAACAAACTAACTTGGCGACCTTGTTGAGAACTGGAAAAGACCTCCATGCTGGGAAAAGCTGAAGGTGATTTTTTTTGGGGGGGGGAGGGATTGACTTAGTTTTTAGAAAGTGCCTTTGAGTTTGCAAGAGGTGAACAAGCCTCTTAACTGGGAAAAAAAGTCCAAAGAAATTTCTAAGTACATAAGAAATATGTACAGTACTGTATAAAGCACACATGGATGCGTGGGGTTTACTTTGTGTGTCTTTTGGATTTTAACACACCACTCTTCTCTGACATCTCAAGCCATATAATATGTCTGGTTGGTAAATTTACAAAATATGTGCATGTGCACACGCAAAACAGTTAGTTACCTTATAAATACATTTTTAAAATAGGGTTGTGATACCTTAAAAGATAAATTGGGTATTTGTCTTTGACTCTGTCTAAGTGGCTTGGGGTCAAGACCATCTCCTCCGCTGTATCAGAACCCGATCTGAAAATGGTTGTCAGAGGCACTTTTGTGGGTCATCTTCTGTCCAAAATGAAACGAGATGGGTGGCTATTTAAGGAGAGAGCTTTTAAAGGGGTGGCCTGTGTTTTGTGGAATACATTCCTAGAGAGGCTTGTTGAAAACCTACACTCTGTCTTTTCACTCTTTCAGCTTTTTGTGTTTTGTCAAAGGCAGAGAATATACTGCTTCACCAGGTGTATTGAATACCTTCAGCTGACACGGAGGTTTCTTTATTTAAAATATCTTTATGCTATTTCCTTTTGAATGATGTGTTCAAGAGGCCTTACAAGATGAGTAAAATAATGCAGTCCTTACATCTGTTTAGATGCATCTCCCCAGTGCAGTCATGAACTGCTTTCACCGCCGTGGCTTTCTCCCACAAGAAACTATACCTCTGTGAAGCACTTAGGATCTCTCCCAGATAATTATCTCTACAAACTAGCAATGTGCAGTATGTGATGAATGCAGCATGCGATGAAAAATGTGGTCACTGTTTTATCCAGAAGTTTGCACAGCATAGCGTGTAAATTGTAGTGTGTATTAAAAGATTGAACTGAGATCCAGTGGGTCACCCATGTTCTGATTGTGTTTTTACTCTCTCTGTTTTTTAGGAACACTAAGATGAATACTTTAGTCATGTACCCCTCCCACCAGTTTTCAGAAGAAGATAAAAAGATGTATTATATCTTGACTGATGACTTTCCTTATGGTAGCAAGCTGTTTCCTGCAGGGAGTATATGTTACCTGAACGAACAGACTTTCCTGCATCACATCAGCATGGGGTCCACTCGTTTCTGGAGGTTTGTCATGGTTGAGGACGGTTCTGTGGTCACGATGGATGTCGAGAGTCTGCAGCCCCTGAATGAGAAGATGGCTGATTTCCTTCTGGCTGTCAGCAATGTTCACGAACGGTTAAACTGCTTTCTGGACTGTCGACTTCTAGACGCAGCCATGAAAGCCAGAGTGGGTCAGCAGGTCTTTGTAGAACTAAACCATCAAACGTTCCCTGGAGTCATCCGCTACATTGGGAAGCTTCATAAGAGCCCTTGGATATCTGGACTCTGCCCTGTTTACTTCGGGGTGGAGCTGCAGGTAAGGTGATTTAAGGAGGCAGGAATTACTGTGGGGCTCGTAGGTCTGGTTCATAATTCTTTTCCTCATTAACCCGTTTGAGAGAGGCCCTTTGTCTCAATGATTTCCTCTTAGAATTGGAGTCAGTAAGAAATTGGTGGTAAATATTAATGGAATGACTCCTAAATTTCATTCTGTGGCACATGTAATGCTTGGTACATATTGGTGCAGTTTTCCCGAGGGGTGAGGACCTGCCAGCTCCCCTGAAGGAATGTTTGAGTTCCTGCATGGATGGAGCAGCAGCAGCAGAAGAAATAAATAGTCTAAAGCTAATAAAGATCACTTCTTTTTTATTATTGTTTTCCCATGGGCTAGATTCTAGAACATAATTTAACCCGTCTGCTGTTTCTTCAGGGTGACGGTGATGGCAAAGGCCACTGTGATGGAACCTATAGCGGGACCAAGTGCTTCAAGTGTAAGCCGGGCGGGGGCATTTTTTTGCCCTTTAACAAGCTGCAGTTCCTGCCAATGCCGGAGGACACAAAACTGAAGGAGGTGGAAAAGTTGGATGGCATTCAGGAGATGCCAGTCAAAGTCGGGGAGGCCGTGGGCTTCTATTTGGACGATGCCTTCACACGAGGAATAGCAATGGATGTGTACAAAGAAGGGAGCACCTGGATGGTGAAAGTGTGCCTGGTAAGAAATGAGGTCTGCCTCTCCTCCTTTTCTCCCTCTGGCAGATACCCTGGTGGGTACAGCCTGCAGGTTTTGCAGTCCTGGAAAAGTGGAGAGCGGCCACGCTCTTGTGTAGGATTTGCCAAGGAGGGGCAATGAATGGGAAAGAAAGAAACAACCAGATTTTGGCTGGCTGCTGCATCCTCAGGATGAGGACCAGACTTCGTGAATGGTGGCCAGGGTGGTTGGGGCAGAGAACCGTGAGCGATCGGGTGATAATGTCGAAAGGCAGTGTGGTTTGCAGAGCGGTAGAAATGTGGATGTCTGTTGGGAAGTTCGAGGGAAGGGAAACAGACGGCCGCCAACTCAAGAATAAGAAAAGAGGAACCTAAGGGTTTTTTATAACAAGAGAAAGTGAAAAGAGGAGAGAATGTTTGTCAAGCCTCCTCCCTCCACCTGAGACCCACCCAGAGAGCAAGCCGAGGGTGAATTCATCCTGTGGCTGCCTATTTCTGTGAAGCGACTCGCTCCAGAGCAGTAGCTTTTTCAGATTTTCTGGGAAACCCAGGAGGTGCTTCATGATAATGCAGTACAAGCTTCTCTGGGAGGCAAGCTTCCAAGGTTAACCTCTCCCTTCTCTTGCTGTGCCTTCTGGCCCCAAGTGCATTGCCAGGAATGATGCTCTGGAGGTAAACCGGGGCTCTAGACATGAAGGAGGCTTCTGACAAGCACAGCTATTATTTATTAATTATGGTATATTTTTATTTCTGCCTTACAGTGAACAGGCACTCACAGTGAACAGGTAGTGTCCAGACAGCCAGTTTGTATCCTATTACAGTCAACAGCAACAAAATCAGCAGCTAAACCTATTAATAACCCACAAATAACAAAGCATATTAATAAAGATGATGAAGATAATTCAGTTAACATTTAAACCTCATTGTAACTTCCTAATCCCGTAAACCTAGAATAATATGGTGAATGCTATGACAAGCGCTTACCCGTTTTCAGGCGTAAGGCAATTAAAAGCTGCTCTGAAGAGTTACGGGTTTTGCAGTTTTCAAAAGGTAAGGGGTGGTCCTTGGTGAACAGCCGGCGGTAGCTCTTCCGCCCTTTGAGAGCCAAGGTAGAAAATGTCTGGTTTCTCTGGTCGTGGATTTTCCGGCCCCTCTCGACATTGGCCTTTCCGCGGCATATATCGTGAGGAGCCAAGGGAGTGGTCTTAAAGATGATTCCCGGAGAGATGTTCCATTCGATATCAAGATTCCCAGCTCTCTAGGGCTTTATAGGTCAAAACCTAGCATAAAACTGTTATCTGTTGTACAAGTTGATGGGAGGCTCCTCCTCTATTCCTGTATTCAAGTTCTCTATGTCTATATATCTGTAATATTTTATTTTTCTGTTTTGGTTTGAAGGAGGATGAAGCCATCATGGATGGTTTCCGAATTATCCCTATGGACTCTGTGGTGAAAGAGGAGCTGCTGCTTCCAGGTGAGCTGGCCTTCACGTGCACTGCTCATGGGCACTCTGACTCTTTCCCCCCCCCCAAAAAAGCAAAAGCATATCAGCGGGGTGAGGTTTCTGGGCTTTTCTCTCCCTTTCTCGGTTTCTTGTGACCCTGTTTCATCAGGCAACAAGGATCAAACGTATTGTGTTTGTGCCTACGTTTTTCCCCGCCTCCTCTTCAAGCAGGAATAGCTCTGCACCCATTTGGTCTTCTGCGCCGGTCTGCACTCAAGCAGTAGTTGTTGTTGGGTATGAAACATGTCACACGTCTGTATTGTTTTGCAGCTTTTGAAATAGAGGCAGATTCGGGGCCTCAAGACCGGCTAAAATGTAAGAGAAGTGAGAGCGAAACAGAGAAGGAAACCAAGCCACCCTCCCTGGACGTGAACTCCGTGGTCCAGATCGATTTAGAGAAGGGGAATTCCGTCACGGGAACGATCCGCTGGGTTGGCTGCCTACCCAACACTCGGGAGAAAGTGGCTGGGGTTGAGTTGGTAAGAGTCCCGTCAAGCATTCCCTGGTTCGGTCGCTTGGATGCCTTCGAGCTCTGTCTTCTGGTGGAATTAAGAACCAGAATCTGGCGATAGGTTTTCGTAGGCGTCGCCGGTCAGTTCTGGGGACCAAGTAAATGGGTGGCCATGGACAGCAGAGTTGTGGAGGTAGCCGCTGGCCTCCCTCTGCCCAGCTCAGCTCGCCTGGCCCAGGGGCCTCTGATTGACCACAGGGTGCCTTTGAGTTATCGTGGATATTTTTTTGGATGATTTAATTTTTTTAAAAAAAATCATTTATAAAAATTAAATCATGCTTCAGATGGTGGCTTCAATCAATTTGATTTAAAAACAAATCATGGATTTTTATCCGCCTCGATTGAGAAAGGTTAACTCCCCCTTCAGTCCCCCTGACCTTCCTGCAGCCTTCAGTGCCACGGAAGTACCACGGCTAGTGCAGGACCTAGCCGGGATGGCAGATATGCCGGAGTGTTAACAAGAGTCCAGAGGCCATGAGGACCTGGTTTTCCTCATCGGCCAGACTTCCACTCGGTCCCTTCTTTGTCCAGCTGCATGATTAGGTGAGATGGGGGGCAGGCCGTGTTTTAGTGCCATTTTTCTGCTGACAAACCCCTGTTTGTGCGGCTCTTTGTTCTCTGACTCAAATCCAACCACTGTACATGTGTGCGACGACAAAGCCTCTGTGCTGCCTTTTGAACAGTCACAATCTCTCCTGCACCCGAGTGACGCCCACAGACAGTCTGTAACCATCCCGTAACAATGGCCTGTCTGAGACATGTTGCCCTCCTTCGCAGGATGAAGAGAAGGGGGTCTCGGATGGGGAGTTGCAAGGCATCCGCTACTTCAGCTGCCCCCCCAAGAGGGGTCTCTTTGTGAAATTGGAGTCGTGCCAGCCAGACATGCGTTTCCAGACAAACAGTCACACACCTTGGGAATCCCTGGAGCTGAGTAAGTTCCTTCTTCCAGTCGAGATCCCGGGACATGCTCTACTGCGAACTGATATTCCCAGGGGAGGAAGTGGGAATTTGCATGGCCATCAGCCATGGCTTAAGAGGTCCGGTTGTGGCTGGTGGGTCCTGCTGTGGAAAGTCAGGGTGGATGGGATAGAGAGCCCCCCCCCCATTCTAAACAGCGGCCTTTGGAAGCACCTGCCGTTGGCCTCGCTCTTCTGGGAACCTGTGAGCTGCTTCTGGGGTGCAAGCCTGGTGCGTGGTTGCAGCCACTAGCCTTCTGAACACACTCTTAGCTGTAAAGGTGAAAGCTGGCGTCTCACGAAAATGATGCTATTCTATATATATTTTTAAAAAACAAACCAGGTGGACCAGACACCCCTGTGGTCTTCAGCAACCTGCCACCCCTCAGGGACGAGATGGCTGTGAAGGTCTTAAGTGGGCGGATGAGAGGGATCCAAGGCCATTGCAACTCCTGCTACATGGATGCCGCCCTTTTCAGGTAGGCAGTTCCACGGATGCGGCTTCCAGGCCGTTTCCTGATGGATCCATCTTGGAATCTAATGAGACCGTTTGGTCTACAGTAAGTTGACCACCTTGGTGTTCTTCTAAAACCCTAAGGGCCGCTTCGGCCTTGGATAAAGGCCAGGTCTTATCTAACTGTTAACATTCACTCACTCACTCACTCACTCACTCATTCATTCATTCATTCATTCATTCATTCATTCATTCACTCGCTTTCATTCATTCACTCGCTTTCATTCATTCACTCACTCATTTGCTCATCTTCTATACTGCCCATCCGGCTACCAAGGCCACTCTGGGAGGTTCACAGCAGAATAAAACAGACAACTCTTTATAAAGCACTAAACTTAATAGGTGTACGAAAAATCAAAATCAGTCATATCAGCCCACATACACAAGAAAAAACAACAACTTTGAAATAACTAAAGCTAATTAAAAAGGCAAGGTCATTGAACAGATAATAAAACCCTGTGCTATGGTGATGTGATCTCTGGGAAGGCCTGCCTAAACAGCTATGTTTTCAAAGATGGCTTGAAAATTCCCTGCAAAGTGCCCAAGGTTGGCCGTCATCCTGTGGTGGACGAATGGAGTGGAAGGTCCATGATGGAAGGGGCTCTCTCTTGTATGGCTGACTTCACAGCCAGTGTGAGAACGTTGGGAGCCCGTTGGGTTGGTGGGTGCTTGCTTGCTTGCTTGTTTGGCCTTCTGCTCTGACCTTTTGCAGTAGGAAGCTGGTTTGTGTTCATTGTCTCCTGATGTTGTGGCCTAGATTTCTGGGGCTTTATGCCGCTGCAAACTGGGCCATGGTGCTCTTGCTTGATGGGGAAAAGCGAAATCTTCCCTCCTCTGTTGCTTATATTGTTGCTTCAATTTCTCTCTGTCTTTGTGTCCGTTTCTTTAAACACAAATCTGCTCCTCTCTTACCGCCCTCCGCTGTGAAGTGTTGCCGCCAGACAGTAGAGTTACCAAGCGCGTCCTCTCTCACCACAGCCTCTTCTCCTGCACATCAGTCCTGGACTCCATGCTCTACAAGCCTTCTTTCCCACCTGAGCTGCAAGTTCAGAAGATCCTCCGGGACAAGATAGTCAACCCTCTCAGGCAGTAAGTTACGATCTCTGCATCCCGAGCTCCTGGAGAGGAGGCCGTCCTGTGTTCCTGACTCCCTGTGCGTTCACTTTGTTCTTCTGTAGAAAAGAGTCATTAAATTCTATTTAGCTAGCCTGCCATTAAGGCCCTGGATGGAGCTTCCTTTGATGGAAGCATGGTATGCATGCGATACGCCATCGCTTCATCAGCCCAGCTCCAAACCTGCCTTGAATTCTAGGTTTTCACAGCCAACAACAGCTCTGATCCTCTCTTGATTATTTGGTTTTCACGCCTGTGTCTCTGTGAGAGACCTTACAGAGTCCAACATGCTTACGCAATGTATAGTCGTTAAAAAATGACAGTACAGTGGTGACCTGCATAGCAACATTAATCCGTTCCAGGGAAAACGTCACTATCCGGAAACATAGCTAAACAGAACGTAAAACCCCATAGGAACAGAGTTTAATGCGTTCCTATGGGGGGAAAACTCACCGGTAAGCGAAGATTCCCCATCTGGCCGCCATTTTTGCCGCCTCGGTAAGCGAGGGCAGGGCGCAAAAACGCTGCGGGCGGCCATTTTCTTCATCCGGCGGCCATTTTGGAACTGCCGATCAGCTGTTTCCCGAACATCGCAATATGAAGATGCTTAACATCGCAATGCGATGCTTAGCCTATTAAAACATCGCAATGCGATCGTAAAAACGACCGCAAAATCCGCATCGCTATGCGGATTTGTCGTTAAACGGTGCGCTCGTTGAGCGAGGCACCACTGTATATGAACGTCCGACAGTTGGAATCTCCAAGTGCAGCTCTGGGAAACATACCATGGCCACTTCATTCTCAAAGCAAAAAGTTTCTTGTCTCCGTTCACAACAGCTCTTAAATTCTGAGCCTGAATGGTGGGTCGGTATCCTGAAATCTAAGGTGCCAGTGAAATCTAAGCCACTGCTCACCAGCTTTAACTGGGGTTACGGTACAGTGTCTTATTTTTCCTCCTCTCTCTTTCTGAAGCAGAATAAACTATGTAAAATAAATAATGGGTATGAAAATATAGTTAATTTATAGAAGGGATGAAGTTTGAGGTGTTGTGGGTATGTACGCACAAACCGGAATCCTGTTTGGCGGCTCTTGTGTTCATCGTGGAAATGTTATATTCAGCAGCAGCTGAATTGAAGGCTCCTGTTGACAGTTTTATTTATTTATTTATTTATTTTTTTTATTTAATTTATATGCCGCCCACACTACCCAAAGGTCTCTGGGCGGCTTACAGCATTTAAAATACAATAAAGATATGTACAATTAAAATACAATTAAAATATATATAAAATTGCCATCAGACCCACAGTTAATATTATTTCAGTTAAAAGCCTTCTGGAACAGGAAGGTTTTGACCTGGCGCCGAAATGTCATCAGTGTCGGCGCCAGACGAATCTCAGTCGGGAGGGCATTCCATAGTCTGGGGGCAGCTGCCGAAAAGGCCCTTTGTCTGCAAGCCATCCCTCTTACCTCCTTGAGGGATGGCTCTTTCAAAAGGGCCCCCTGGCTAGATCTTAACTGCCGGGTAGGCTCATATGGAAGGTGGATGTGACTTCATCACATTGTGCAGGAATCGTACTGTCAGTGTGAAATTTTGAAATGTATAGAGGGTTAAAAAAAATTAAAGGGGCTGTTGAAAATGCAAATATCAAAGTGTACATGGCGCTTTAAATATGAGGTTTGAACAGCAGTGTACTAAAAGTCACTTCTCAAAACAATCAGCCAGCTTTCCAGCCACGTAAAATAACATTGCCTTGCAGAGAGCTTCTTTCTTACCTTATACTTCAGCATGGATGGAAACAAAAGACAGGAAGACAACTCCTAGAATCTTAAAGGGCAGATAGAGCAAACTGGCTTCTGACCAACTTTGTTCACGAGCCCTTTGTGCTCACGGCGTTTTGCTTACCCAGTAAAATGGCACCAGAATGATTTGCCATTCCTGCATGTGCCAGGACTCCAGTTAGTCAAAATAAAGGCTGTTATCTGCCATAGTGGTAACCTGGTAGTGGTCTGTATTATTTTATGCCACTCCAGTATGAACAGTAGAGATTTCTGTTAAAAATATTCTGACGGTTTACAGAGATGGGTAACTTAAGAACACTGGCAAAGTTTAGTTGTTTACAGTTGAAGGGGAATGTACAGATGTAGGACAAATATATAAATGCAGGGAAAGCAAGAGGCACACGTGCCATGCCACGCAACACACACACCCACCCACCCAGGTACCAGCCACACGGGATATTGGGCACCAGGCCTCAAAAGAGCAGCAACATGAAGCAGCACACCTTAACAGCATCATCTCGGAACAGATGAGGACCGAGTAGATTTCCCTCCATAGATTCAAACTGGCTTGGCCCTTAGGATATTTCTCATGTGAATCTAGGAATAGGCCAAAAGGCGAAAGATTGCTCAAAGTTTTAATGCTTTTTTACTTTCAATGATCTATTTCAGAGGCGTATTCTCTGCTTTTGGATGATGCCTTTCTAGGCAATAAGCTTCCACACTTAGAATGTAATTAAAACATTCATTTTGGTATTTTGCTGTATGCTCCTGTATTTAAGATTGAAATCTGACTTAAGTGTTTGCCTGCAACAAAAGAAGTTTAGTTTTCATATATTTTTAAACATTTTAACAAAGTCTTCCACAACTTTGAAACAACTATACTTGGAGCATAGATGTAATGTTGATGAATGACGCTTGTAGAAATGGAGAAGCTGCTGTTGCTTCTTATTGTACCTTGAGACCCTAGTGAATGTTGTTATGATTGAAAATGGTTATCTGGTTTCATTCTGGAATTAATCCTAAATAGAATAAATGACAGACACAGGCTTCTGAGTCTTCCTAAGGTCTGTAAAGGTCTTTAGGGATCATCGGGTGGTGTTTAGGTTCTGACCTGGCAGTATGCACTCCTCAGTTGCCTAAGGAAGCCTATAATCCTCTTTGTGGTATGGCGCAGGGCTATGCAACAGGATTTCACCCGCGGTCTGGTTTTTAGCTTTCGTTGCGTGTTGAGAATTTTATTTTGTCCGTATTGCAAAAACACAATGCCGTTTCCTTTTCAGGAATGGTTTTGTTGCTGCTAGGAGTGTGATGGATCTACGGCACCACCTGACGGAGAAGGGCCAGTGTTCCAGCTTTGCCACCTCAGAGAAAGGTGCCGTGTGTGGCCTTCCCCCATTTTAACCCCCCCCCATGCCCCCCAGGGTCCAGCCCTGCTGATTTGCTCAGTGGTCTCAGGCTCGAGTCCCTCCTCCCCCACCGTGCGGATGGGATGGCCCTGGGGGCCTTTGTGATGAGAAAAGGTTGGCTGGGGGTGCTGATTGGGAGTGGGGGTGGGTGGGAGAATAGAATAAATGACAGACACAGGCTTCTGAGTCTTCCTAAGGTCTGTAAAGGTCTTCAGGGCTCTTTGGGTGGTGTTTAGCTTCTGACCTGACAGTATGCACTCCCCAGTTGCCCAAGGAAGCCTATAATCCTCTTTGTGGTATGGCGCAGGGCTATGCATCAGGATTTCACCCGCAGTCTGGTTTTTAGCTTTCGTTGCGTGTTGAGAATTTTATTTTGTCCGTATTGCAAAAACACAATGCCGTTTCCTTTTCAGGAATGGTTTTGTTGCTGCTAGGAGTGTGATGGATCTACGGCACCACCTGACGGAGAAGGGCCAGTGTTCCAGCTTTGCCACCTCAGAGAAAGGTGCCGTGTGTGGCCTTCCCCCATTTTAACCCCCCCCCATGGTCCAGCCCTGCTGATTTGCTCAGTGGTCTCAGGCTCGAGTCCCTCCTCCCCCACCGTGTGGATGGGATGGCCCTTAGGGCCTTGGCCTTCACCCTAAGGCGACTCCGTTTGTTTTGTGATGAGAAAAGGTTGTCTGGGAGTGCTGATTGGGAGTGGGGGTGGGTGGGAGCCCCGTGAGGTCCACGACACAAAAGCGAGGAAAGTCAGAGGCGCTTGGGGGTTGACAGGACCGTAGAGTGTCCTTTAAAATTAGTCCATGGCCTCTTTTTACTTAACCTTTTTTGGAGTGGGTTAAGGCACCATCTGGGTTGTACCTGAATACTGTATTTGGTTAGAGCGAGTGCTTTTCAAGAGAGAACAGATAGCCGATCTGCTAACACCAAGCCTCGTTTTCAGTGCCTGTGATCTCGTCCCCTGGCCTGGATCTGACAGCTCACAGAGAGGGGCTGCTCTCGGGCGGTGGTTTTACTGCATCAAAAAGGGACCAAGCATGTGGCAGAGCTGCCTGGACCTGAGCTAAGCGTCTCTGCTCTGGAAAAAAAGGGGGCCATTTTCTGCAGCTGATTCTGACCCGGAGTTGTTTTCTTTTGTTCCTTCAGACCCTGAGGAGTTTCTGAATCTCATCATGCATCGCATCCTTGGGATAGAGCCCCTTTTGAAACTACAGTAGGTCTCTCCCCCCCCCCCCAAGAGCCCAGAATCGTCGTTTTGGGGCTGGGGAGAATTGTGTGCGTAGAGAGAAGACCTAGTGAATGAGTCGTTTGAATGGTGGATGGGAACTGGCGAGGTATCCCTTTGCAGGCATGGAATATGTCGGGCAGAGAGGGAGAAAGAGGGCTTCCCCCTGGGCCTGGCTAGTGCCCCAAGAGCATGGCGTAAATAAATGCCACCTCTTGTTGATGCGTGCTTTCTCAGAGATACCATCCATGGGGAACTGCTTTTTATCCTGGAAGGAGGAAAAACTGGGCCACTGCAGACACCGTGGTCAGCATTGCTGAGTTGTTTTGAGCTAACTCTTTTTCAGAGAACCCCCTTAGTCTGTTTCGGCCGCCACAAAGCTGAAAGGAAAGCAAAACAGTTCTGGCACCATTAAGACTAATTCGTATGAGCTTTTGTGGATCAAAACCTACTTGGTTGTGGCTTGAAACCTGCCGCGAAATAAATGTGTGGGTCTTAGAGGTGCCACAATATGGTGTTTTTTTTTCATTTTTGGACTTGGTTGGCTTTGAATTAAATGTCCTCACCTTTCAGGTAGTGCAGCATATTGGGTTGAGCCGAGAAAGTTTCAGGGGAGTTGACGGAGAGGCATCTAAAAACTAAGACTCTCTGTTGAACTGGAGGACGTGGAGGGCAGAGAAGCTCAGGGGCGTGAGTCTCTACAGGCTGCATGCTCGTGCACATCACAGTATATATGGGAAGAAGCGTGAAAGACCCACCCATGTGCTTCCTTTCCCTTGCCGCTCTGTTGGAAATTATCCGAAGAAGACCTTCTCTCTGGCCTAGAAGTAGAGTAGCACAGATCGGCAGCCACAGAGAAGCCCCTGGCTTTCTGCTTTCAGGTCTGGGCGGCTGAAGGAGCAAGAGTGCTATTATTACCAGATATTTATGGACAAGCAGGAGGACTTGGTGGTCCCCAATGTGCAGCAGCTGGTGGAACATTCCTTCCTGTCTTCTGATCTCAAGCTGGTGGAGGTGAGTTGTGACGCCGACTGAATTTGTGTCCCTCCAGAGCCTACTTGAGGATTTCACCGGGGGCTCTGTGTCTCTTTCTAAGGAAGCTTGGTGTGCTCTGCTAGAAAGTCTTAAGATGGTTCTGTGTTTACAAGGAATTGTGCATCTGGGGTACATCCTGCTCTGGAAGGGCCCGTGCTTCTGCTGTAGACGCCAGGCGTGAGCCCAGAAGGTGCCACGTTCCATTTCTGGTGCCTCCGATAGCAAGGAATAAGAAAGGTCTTTCTCTCCCTCAGACCTCGGGGAGCCACTGAGTGTCAGAGTAGATGACACACGTCTAGAGGGGACCCCTGGGTTGTGGACCGTGTGGGGGTGGTTTGACTCAACCTGGAAATTCTGGTCTCAGGAGAGCTGTGACATTGAGCGCGACCACAGAGGTGCCTTATGCAATCCCTTGCCTGAGCCCGGCCCTCTGCATGCTACGGATCACACTGCATTAACTCACAGGGTGGTGGGCCGGCTGCATTGTAGCCAAACAGTCAAGATGTTTCTCGGCATGTGGCAGCTTAGCACGGCTGAGAGTCCATGTGGAGGGAGATGCATAGGAAAGTGCTTTGGTGCAAAAACATTGTTTAAAAAAAGGTGTGGAACAGTGACCAAAGTAAAAAAAAAATCAGGGATGGATGATACTTTTACACAATGACCAAAACAACGCAGAAAAGACAGGTTGCAGGAATTCTTCATTTGGGCGGTGCAGAACTTGGCTGAAACAGAAACTTCCCCAACTGATTCTGTTGGAACCGCGCAGTCCCAAGTGAAACCAGTATAAATGTAAAGTTAGGTGCCAACTGGGTCCATCCTGGGGAAGAATTCTGGAAAGGTTTTGATTTTGGATGCAAAAGGAGTCGGCGCGCAACACCCTGGCCCAGACTTGGTCTGCCCCTTCTCTCCCTGTCTAGATCCCATCCTGCTTTATCATTCAAATGCCCCGTTTCGGCAAGGAGTACAAGATGTTCAGCAAGATCATTCCCTCCTTGGAGCTGGACATCACCGATCTGCTGCAGGATAGTAAGTCACGAGGGGTGGGGGTGGGAGACCGGATGGGGTGGGTGGCCGGGAAGGACAGTCCTGTTGTTAGCAGACCCAGCCTGCTCCCCCACGTATTTAGGAGGTCCTCCATTTCCTCGGAGGGATGTGCGTCAGTAACCCCTCCTCAGGTGGGTGATTGCTCAGGGATGAATTTGTGATCCTTGTCAGCCTCATTGATACAAGAGGTGGGATCCAGGCTGGTGCAGCAGGCAGACCCTTGGAGCTGAGCAGGGGGAGCTTTGAAACCTTTAGCACTCGCAATGCTTTCCGGTGCCTTTGGAAGCAGATTCACACCCTTCTGTTTTGTGGACCGGTTGCTGAACACGTCCCTTGGGGGCTATAACATCCTATGTAGAAGGCCAAGC